CTAATTGGATCTAAAGGTGATGTGGAAATAATACCGTATGACAAGGAGTCCAAAGTAGGACTGCACATAAAAGTGCTAACCCTCCCCCCCCACCCCAAAAAAAATGAAAGGTGAATAACACCTTAAATCTGGATAATAATAAACCCTTTTGTGACGGCCAATCATTCCATCATGAAACACTTCCATAGTGTAATACCATTTATTAAAGGAATATGGCGTCCAGACCGGAAGTGCGTCACCACGTACCGACGCGTTGCGTCCACAGTGTGTTGATTTGGGGAGCCATGTCACCTGCTGGTGTTGGTCCACTGTGCTTCATTAAATCGAGTCAACGCAGCCGTCTACCAGGAGATTTTGGAACACTTCATGCTTCCTTCCGCAGACCAGCTTTATGGGGATGCTGACTTCATTTTCCAGCAGGACTTGGCTCGCCCACACTGCCAAAAGCACCAAAACCTGGTTCAATGACCGTGGGGTGACTGTGCTTGATTGGCCAGCAAACTCGCCTGACCTGAACCCCATAGAGAATCTATGGGGCATTGCCAAGAGAAAGATGAGAGACATGAGACCGAACAATGCAGAAGAGCTGAAGGCCGCTATTGAAGCATCCTGGTCTTCCATAACACCTCAGCAGTGCCACAGGCTGATAGCTTCCATGCCACGCCGCATTGAGGCAGTAATTGCTGCAAAAGGGGCCCAAACCAAGTACTGAGTACATATGCAGCTTCTACTTCTCAGAGGTGCGATATTGTTCTATGTACAATCTGTGTTTTATTGATTGCATGGAATATTCTCATTTTCTGAGATTGTGGATTTGGGGTTTTCATGAGCTGTAAGCCATAATCATCACAATGATGACAAATCACGGCTTGAACTATCTTGCTTTGCATGTAATGAGTCTCATATATTAGTTTCACCTTTTAAGTTGCTGCACTGAAATAAATGAACTTTTGCACCAGATTCTCATTTTTCCAGTTTCTCCTGTATGTCAGATTGTATCTCTTTCACATCTGTGGTAACGCTTGCCACTCACTGAAAAGCGATCTGTAATCACTTTTCAGAGGGCGGTATAGCAGCAGCTGAGATGCTTTCAGGCGGGTGCCCCCACCACCACCTGACGCCTGTTTTCTTTTTACTTTTTTTTTTTGCTGAATGTCAGTTTCACATTGCGGGACCGTGAGCGAGGCATTGGTCTCACACGTACAGAGCAGCCCCATTCTCCTCCATGGGAGAGTTTGACCAGCAATGCCGGCTGTCAGACTCTGCAGTCTTCAACATGCAGCAGCTGCAGAGTAAAGCATGATTGGGCATGCAGCCAGGGGTGGCGGTAAAAGTATGGCTCAGCAGCCCCCATGTGAAAGAGCCCTTGGAGGTGATGGATGGAAATGGCTGGGCAGATATGTCTGTAAGTGGGAGGGGGAGGCGCATTCACTGACCCCCTGAGCTGCAGTGACATCCACATACTGCAAATGCAGCCGGCTGCATGGGGGCACAGCCATCCTTGCCGACTCTCTGCTTGCAAACTCCAGCCGGCTCCTGGAACATTCACCCCCCCCAATGCTTTCAGCAGCCTCATTACCGCCTTCCTCCACACTCACCCCATCCAGAGTTTACAGAGCGGGGGGGGGGAGGCAGAAATCTTCTTTCCTCCCTCTGCACACATGGAATGTAGAGATATCCGTAAGGATTGCTGGTGGGGGAGGGGGGGTTGTTTCAGGACCCCGGAGAGTAGTGTCAGCATGAAAGCAAACTCCTCTAGGCAGTGCGGACAGAGCACACAGTCGCAGCTTGCCCCGTGTTATCTGGACGTAGGTGCAGGAGCCACCCACAGCGCTTCACTGTCTGTGACCTGCTTTGATTTTTGGGATGCTGCCCAGGACAAGGACCTCTCGGGACAGTGTTCAAAAATCTGCGAGTGTCCTGGGCAATTCATGAGATTTGGCAACTATGAAGGTCTATGGAGACAGCCCCTCCCAATCCCCCCTCATAGCACAAATCTCCCCCTCTTAGCACAACCCCTCCCAATCCCCCCTCCTGAAACAAATCCCCCATTTTAGCACAACCCCTCCCAATCCCCCCTCCTGACACAAATCCCCTCTCCCATCACAAACTCCCACCAATCCCCTCTCCCAGCACAAATTCCCACCAATCCCCTCTCCCAGCACAAATTCCCACCAATCCCCTCTCCCAGCACAAATTCCCACCAATCCCCTCTCCCAGCACAAATTCCCACCAATCCCCTCTCCCAGCACAAATTCCCACCAATCCCCTCTGTCAGCACAAATTCCCACCAATCCCCTCTCTCAGCACAAATTCCCACCAATCCCCTCTCTCAGCACAAATTCCCACCAATCCCCTCTCTCAGCACAAATTCCCACCAATCCCCTCTCCCACCACAAATTCCCACCAATCCCCTCTCCCACCACAATTTCCCACCAATCCCCTCTCCCAGCATAAATTCCCACCAATCCCCTCTCTCAGCACAAATTCCCACCAATCCCCTCTGCCGCCACAAATTCCCACCAATCCCCTCTCCCGCCACAAATTCCCACCAATCCCCTCTCCCAGCACAAATTCCCCCTCCCAAAAAAATCACCCCTCCTAGCACAACCTCCCTTCAATCCCCCCTCTGCCGCCACAAATTCCCACCAATCCCCTCTCCCGCCACAAATTCCCACCAATCCCCTCTCCCAGCACAAATTCCCCCTCCCAAAAAAATCACCCCTCCTAGCACAACCTCCCTTCAATCCCCCCTCCAAGCACAAATCCCCCCAATCACCCTTATTAGCACAAATCCCCACCACCACCAAGAAAAAAATAATTTCCCTGTAGTTCTACTTCACCCCTCCTAGCACACATGCTCTTTACCGTCAAATGTTTCACCCTAGAACAAATCCTCTCCCTCATTCCCCCCTCCTAGCACAAATCCCCCCTCCCAAATCACCATTCATAGTACAACGTCCCCCAAATCCCCCCTCCTAGCAAAACCCCTCCCAATCCCCCCTCCTAGTACAACTCCTCCCAATCCCCCCCTAACACAAATCCCCCCTCCTAGTACAACTCCTTCCAATTCTCCCTCCTAAGCACAAATCCCCCCTCCCAAATCACCATTCATAGTACAACGTCCTCAAATCCCCCCTCCTAGCACAACCCCTCCCAATCCCCTCTCCTAGCACAACGCCTCCCAATCCCCCCTCCTAGTACAACCAATCCCCCCTCCTAACACAAATCACCCCTCATAGCACAAATCTCCCCTCCAAATAAAAGATGGATGAAAGATTTGGCACTGGGAAACACTTTTTAATAAATAGTACATTGTATATACAACTACAGAGATCAGACAAGAATGAGGGACAAATGAGGAAGACAGAGGGGCAGGGGGACAGAGAGACGGAGGGATAGGGGGATGGAGGGGCAGGGGGACAGAGAGACGGGGGGACAGAGAGACAGAGGGGTTGAAGGATGGAAGGACAGAGAGATGGAGGGACAGAGTGACAGAAGGGAATGAGGACAGAGGGAGAGAGGGGCAGGGGGACAGAGGGGAAGGGGGACAGAGGGGCAGGGGGACAGAGGGGAAGGGGGACAGAGGGGCAGGGGGGACAGAGGGGCAAAGGAGGACAGAGGGCCTTGTTCAGAATCAGTGACAGTTGGGAGGTATTGTCAGGGATCCCAGGTCCTCGGCGGTGCGCGCATGCGCAGATTGCCGATCCATCCCAGCCGGCGAGCACAGAGTCCTCGGCGATCGCTGCGGCGGGCCGCGCATGCGCACTAGTGATCGCACCAATGGGAGAACAGGGCGCTTTATTTAAAACTGCCCTGTGCATCTCCAAGTTGCCGCAAGGTCTTGTTCCTGATTCCTGTAAATACGCATCCTTGTTTCGAAACTCTGCCTGTTCTGATTTATGCTGACCCTCTCCTGCTCTGACCCCAGCTCGTTCCTGACCATCCTTCTGCCTGACCCTCTGTACCGCGCTGCCCGCTACCTGCTCAACCTGGCTTGTGACCCCGACCATTCTCCGCTTGCTCCCCCTGTACCACGCTGCCCGCACGATACCGACCCGGCTAGTCTGACCTCGCTCACCCCTAGCAGTCACCCATCCATCCCGGTCGGATCGGGATCTGTCATCCGTCCATCCTGCTCGGATTGGGATCCGTCATCCCATCCATCCGCTCAGATCGGACCTGTCATCCCCTTCACAGCAGGCTCATCCCGGGCACATACCCTCAGCGGGACCCCTCTGCTACCGCCGGGGGTGCCCAGGGGCGCGACCTGGTTCCAGTCTTGCACCAAGTCCATCCCCACCATCAGGGGCCCTGGTGAAAAGGCAGACTGGGACTTAGACTCCGCGTCCTGGGAAACCCCGTGCTGTGGACCACTAGAGATCCCGTTGGGCGGAGCCCGACAGGTATGAAGCACGCGTGGTGCGTTTTTTTCCGCGACTGCGGTGCGCCTTGGGATTATGGGCTGAGGGTGACGATTTCTGCCCGCGCTTCACTTTTTGATAACTAGTACATTTTATATACAACTACAGAGATCAGACCAGAATGAGGGACAAATGAGGAGGACGGAGGGGAGGGGACAGGGGCAGGGGGACAGAGGGGCAGGGGGACAGAGGGGCAGGGGGATGGAAGGACAGAGAGATGGAGGGCCAAGGGGACAGAGTGACAGCAGGGCAGAAGGACAGGGGGAGAGAGGGGCAGGGGGAGAGAATGGGGACAAATGAGGACAGCGGGACTTGTTCAGAATCAGTGACAGTTGGGAGGTATGAAGCACGTGTGGTGCGTTTTGCAGCGACTGCGGTGCGATTCGGGATTATGGGCTGAGGGTGACGATTTCTGCCCGCGATTCCAAACAGAGTTTTTTGTTCTTTTTATGTGTAGGTCCAAAACAATTGGTCATCTCCCGACGGAAGGTCAGACGGTCGGGCACCCCCGGATCCAGGGCAGCTGGAATTCAAACGCAGCCAAAAACCGCATCCCCGCCGTACCTGCTGTGCGCCCCGGAGGAGCTGATTCTAGTTGCAGTTCCCCCTCCAGCTTCTAGGCGTCGCTGTCCGCTCTTCGTCTTGTTTTTGACGGCGAGCCGTCCAGTCCTCTGTTTGCGCATGCGCCTCTCCATCTTATCCACGTGCAGAGCTGTGCTGAGCTTTGGTTCGGCGGGGAGAGTCTGGCGCGCGCGGGGAGAAATGTATGAAGGACAACCTGGCCGGGGAGCCCGGAGGAGAGGTGAGGGGTCGCTGTGTGTCGGCGGGAAAACCATGACAGTGAATGTCCCGGATGACGTCCCCCCTCCCTGCCCGGCTAACGGTCACCTGTCAGCGGTGTCACATTTCGGAGGACAATCGCGGTCATGTGACACCGCACACACGTGACCCGTGTATCATTCCTCACAGCTGTGTTCGGTGGTCTGTACTCCCCGGGGGGGTATTTTTTGTGCTATAAACAAAAAGAGCATAAAAATGTGATAAAAAGATTTTCTTTTGTTTCTATTATAATTTTCCAAGCCGGTCATTGTTAACTGATGTGTGCTAATGACACTGATGTTGGGCGGCGTGGATGGTGCACTGACGGTGGGCTGCAGTGATGGTGGGCAGCGTGGATGTTGGGCACTGACGGTGGGCGGCGTGGATGGTGGGCACTGACGGTGGGCTGCAGTGATGGTGGGCAGCGTGGATGTTGGGCACTGACGGTGGGCGGCACTGACGGTGGGCTGCACTGATGGTGGGCACTGACGGTGGGCGGCGTGGATGGTGGGCACTGACGGTGGGCTGCACTGATGGTGGGCACTGACGGTGGGCTGCAGTGATGGTGGGCAGCGTGGATGTTGGGCACTGACGGTGGGCTGCACTGATGGTGGGCACTGACGGTGGGCGGCGTGGATGGTGGGCACTGACGGTGGGCTGCACTGATGGTGGGCACTGATGGTGGGCGGCGTGGATGGTGGGCACTGACGGTGGGCTGCACTGATGGTGGGCACTGACGGTGGGCGGCGTGGATGTTGGGCTGCACTGATGTTGGGCAGCGTGGATGTTGGGCACTGACGTTGGGCTGCAGTGATGGTGGGCGGCGTGGATGTTGGGCACTGACTTTGGGCTGCAGTGATGGTGGGCAGCGTGGATGTTGGGCACTGACGGTGGGCTGCAGTGATGGTGGGCAGCGTGGATGTTGGGCACTGACGGTGGGCGGCACTGATGTTGGGCACTGACGGTGGGCTGCACTGATGGTGGGCACTGACGGTGGGCTGCGTGGATGGTGGGCACTGACGGTGGGCTGCACTGATGGTGGGCACTGACGGTGGGCTGCACTGATGGTGGGCGGTGTGATGTTGGGCTGCACTGATGGTGGGCGGCGTGGATGGTGGGCACTGACGGTGGGCGGCGTGGATGTTGGGCTGCACTGATGGTGGGCGGCGTGGATGTTGGGCACAGATGGTGGGCACTGCTGATCGGTGCCGATCCCTCCTCCTCCAATTGCAGGATATCAGCAGTACTCCTCATGCTGGGACAGCGCAGACAGTGCAGCCAATAACCAGCAGCCATATTCCCTGATGATCGGTGTCATCGCTGCAACTTCGTCTTTTATATTTTACCAAAAAATCGGGTCATTTATTGCTTTTTTTTTTGTGCCCTAAAATAAATTCAGTATTTTTTACTGAAATTTTGTGGTAATATCATGTGACATAAAACATTGGAACTCCCACGATTGTATTCTCCGGGGTCTCGGCTTTCAGGAAATCTTATATTTGGGGGGTTTTATGTCATTTTTAAGCCTAAAATGATTTTTTTTAAAAAAAACGCAAAAAAAACGGCTCTGACAGCAAAAAGGATAAAGGATCAGCTGGACATGCCCCTTTCCTGAGGAGCAGCCAATCGGTGCTCATTGCACTGCAAGGTCTCTCCCCTCCCAGCTAATCCCAGGAGGGGGCTGGAGACAGGCAGGTTGTGTGATTGGACACAGCTGATCACATGACCGAGCCGACCGCTTCGGCTCTTTGCTGTGTGTGGGACACAGTGATCGTGCTGCGCGCTCCCTGAGCCCTGCATGCGCAGTGAGAATTGGAGGACGTCATATGACGTCCTCCCAGAACGAGAGAACCGCCTTGCGCCTGTCATTTTACTATATGGTGGGCGGGAGGCGGTTAAAAGGCGATTCTAATTTTTTTTTTTTTTGTTCAATAATTCCTTCTGTAAACTTTTCTAAATACATCCCCATTGATCACGTGATGTCCTGAATATCGGAGATCCGTGTCCTCTGTCCTACTAAAGATTCTTCAGTCTTTAACCACTTGAGCTCCGGAAGGTTTTACGGCTGGTTCACATTAAAAAAAAACACTCCGGATACGTTTTCCTGCATCGGAAACTGGAACTGACTGCACTAGTGTGAACCAGGGACATTGGAATACATGGAAAACGCCGTGCATGCATTTTTGATGCAGTAAAAAAACCCAATGGATTGCATCTAGTGTGAACTAGCCCTTATCGCTTTCATAACCCCAAGTCGTTTTTTTTTTTTTTTTTTTTTCCTTTTCAGCACTGCGCTACTTTAACTGAAAATTGTACGGTCATGCAACTTTACCAAAATGAAATTTATAGCATTTTTTTTCACACAAACAGAGCTTTCTTTAGGTGGTATGTGATCGCCACTGGGATTTTTATTTTTTGTGATAACTGAAAAAATATTAAGCTTTTTTTGGGGAAAAAAAAACTTTATCTTCTGCTACAAAACCTATCCAATAATAAAATGTTCTTCATAAATTTAGGGCAAAATGTATTCTGCTGCTTGTCTTTGGTAAAAAAAAAATAAAATCCCAATCAGTGTGTATTGATTGGTTTGCATGAAAGGTATAGCATCTACAAACTATGGTGTGTGAGTACGTGTGTGTGTGTGAGAGTACATATGTGTGTCTGTGTGTATCTATATGTACGTGTGTGTATGTTTTATTTTTATATATATATATATATATATATTATATAAATATTAAAAATAATTTTTCTTGATTTATTTTTTTAAACTAATGGCAGTGATCGCTAATTTATGGTGGGACTGCGATAGCGCGGTGGGCAATCTGACACTAACTGACATCAGTGACACTAACACAGTGATCAGTAATACTATACACAATTACTGTATTAATGACACTGGCTGGGAAGGGGTTAACATCTTGGGTATTCAAGGGGTTAAATGTGTTCCTAACAATGATTAATGTGTGCTGCTTTTTACTCCCGGTCTTTGTCTCCTATTCCTGCTTTGCTAGGATAAGATAAGAAACACGGTTCCCTCTGTACATAGCTCTGTGTTGATTGTCAACACAGGGCTCTGGGCTGTGATTGAACACAGCTGATCAGCAGGTCCCGGGCGTGATTCATTGGCTGGGACTTGCTGACAGGCTCCTTCTGTGTACAATCACAGCAAGTGTCAGCACGGGGGGGCATGCATGCGTCCCTCTAAGCCCAGAAGCAGGCAGCGGTGTACAGTACGTCGCTTTGCCTGAGCGCGCCCGCCCCCCCTGTCTGCAGTACATGGCTGGTGGTCCACAAGTGGTTAAATTTGCAGAAAGACAGCAAACTGGTCCCGGCACAGAAGGCAGTGAAATGTGCTGTAGTGGTTCAACTAGATGTGATTGGTCAGAGAGAAATATGTGCATCAAAAGAACCAATTCTGAGTGTTGTGATTTTCTATCTTAGGCACAACCCGTGTGTGTGAGGACATCGGGGGCCAAGTCTTGGCTTGTGGCCGGCGTGTTTCTCCGGAGGAATGGGCCGCCAACATAAATGTAAGTCGCCATGCTAAATGGACGAAGGGGCAGCTGTGGTGTACTTGGACGGGAGGGGCGGCTGTGGTGTACTTGGACGGGAGGGGCGGCGGGGGTGTACTTGGACGGAGAGGGGCGGCTGGGGTGTACTTGGACGGGAGGGGCGGATGGGGTGTACTTGGACGGGAGGGGCGGCTGGGGTGTACTTGGACGGGAGGGGCGGATGGGGTGTACTTGGACGGGAGGGGCGGCTGTGGTGTACTTGGACGGGAGGGGCGGCTGGGGTGTACTTGGACGGGAGGGGCGGATGATGGGTGTACTTGGACGGGAGGGGCGGCTGTGGTGTACTTGGACGGGAGGGGCGGCTGTGGGTGTACTTGGACGGGAGGGGCGGCTGGGGGTACTTGGACGGGAGGGGCGGCTGGGGTGTACTTGGACGGGAGGGGCGGATGTGGTGTACTTGGACGGGAGGGGCGGATGTGGTGTACTTGGACGGGAGGGGCGGCTGTGGCGTACTTGGACGGGAGGGGCGGCTGTGGCGTACTTGGACGGGAGGGGCGGCTGTGGCGTACTTGGACGGGAGGGGCGGATGGGGCGTACTTGGACGGGAGGGGCGGATGGGGCGTACTTGGACGGGGAGGGGCGGGGGCGTACTTGGACGGGAGGGGCGGATGGGGCGTACTTGGACGGGAGGGGCGGATGGGGTGTACTTGGACGGGAGGGGGGCTGGGGTGTACTTGGACGGGAGGGGCGGCTGGGGTGTACTTGGACGGGGCGGCTGGGGTGTACTTGGGACGGAGGGGCGGATGGGGTGTACTTGATGGCGTACTTGGACGGAGGGGGGGCGGTGGACGTGGGGGGCGGTGGGCGGGTGGTGTACTTGGACGGAGGGGGGGGGTGGATGTGGACGTGGTGTACTTGGATTTTGCAAAACCGTTTGACACAGTTCCCCACACACAGCTGTAAGGTGAAGTCTACAGGCTTGGAAAAATTAGTTTGTAAACGGATAGAAAACTTACTAAAAGCCCCAATTCAGAGTATTGGTTAATGATTCCCACTCTGAATCGTCCTTAATAATGTGAATAGGATTTCTCTATGGGGGGGTTTGCAGGACAGGAAGTGAAAATAAATCCATTTATTATTTGTTACAACTTTAAATATTATTATTTATCACAAGTAAATCTCCGGGGCCAGAGAGGACATTCCCTTCATCCACTGATAGTGCCGACAAGACGCAGAGAAGGGCGGGGCACAGAAAAGTATTCTTAGCTACTGAAATCTAATTGGTCATTTTTTTCTACTAAACCCCAATGCAGATGTTTTGCCACCAAATGAAATGTCTGTTCTACAGAACAAAGCTTCTAGTTACAAATGTGAATGTTTATGATAATAGCGAACATTCACTGATTTGTGCTGATCTACTGGGAGCTGCAGACTGAAAATTATTTAAGGGGTTCCCTGAAATTTAGAAGAAAAAATTGGCTTGATGGTTAAAAGGTTGACAAACTTCCCTACAGGGCGTTTTTGTGCTGCACGCCCCTACAGGATGTTTGTCCGGCATCTGCCTAAAGGACGTGTTCCGGCACCCCCTACAGGGCTTTCTCCGGCACCACCGAGAAGGTGTTTGTTTGGTACCCCCTACAGGGTGCTTCTCCGGCACTCCTTTCAAGGCGGTTGTTTGGCACACCCTTCGTCGCATTTGTTGGGCACCCCTACAGCGCGTTTGTCCGGCACCGCTACAGGATGTGTGACCGGCACCCCCTACAGGGCGTTTGTCCAGCACAAGGCGTTTGTTTGGTACCCCTACAGGTTGCTGTCCGGCACCCCCTACATTGCATTGGTCCGACACCCACTACAGGGCGTTTGTGCGGCACCTGCTACAAGGCGTTTGTGCGGCACCCCCTACAGCGCGTTTGTCCGGCACCGCTACAGGATGTGTGACCGGCACCCCCTACAGGGCGTTTGTCCAGCACAAGGCGTTTGTTTGGTACCCCCTACAGGTTGCTGTCCGGCACCCCCTACATTGCATTGGTCCGACACCCACTACAGGGCGTTTGTGCGGCACCTGCTACAAGGCGTTTGTGCGGCACCTGCTACAAGGCGTTTGTGCGGCACCTGCTACAAGGCGTTTGTGCGGCACCTGCTACAAGGCGTTTGTGCGGCACCTGCTACAAGGCGTTTGTGCGGCACCCGCAACAGGGCGTTTGTCTGACACCCCCTACAGGGCGTTTGTCCGGTACCCCCTACAGGCTGTTCGTCTGGCAACCCCTACCAGGCGTTTGTCCGGCATCACCTACAGGGCGTTTGTCCGGCACCCCCTATAGGGAAGTTTGTCATACCTCCTTCCCTGGGCTTCTTAATTAGAATTCCACAGAAGTCTGGTGTTTGGTCACTGCAGGCGGCGATGCGGGGGTGAGGAGAGGATCTGTCTGGGTAGGAAGGTGGTAGCTGGAATGGTAAAACAGCCATTGTGAGGAGGAATTTCAGGAGTACAGGGCAAGACCAGACACACCCAGAAAACGATGTGTATGATGTCACTTTCAGGTCAGCCTCTGTGTCCCCAACCAGCATGACCAGGAAATAATGTAATACAATGCGATCTGCATTGCATTACATTCAGGGGATTCATGCTGGTCTATTACACCCCGAGTGTCTCATTAACAATGATCCCAAAAAATCATCACATGGGGACTTTATGTGCCCTATCTGATGTAAAAAAAAAAAAAAAAAAAGGTTTTAATAGTAAAAAATTAGTTATACCAGACACATAAAATATATCCCACCCCCACAAAAAAATTTTGAGCCCCCACCCCGTTCGAATGAACATGAGCACACACGCTGGGGTGCGTACGCATGAAAACGGTTGTGAGTACAACACCTACTTTATTTTTTATTAAACATTTTTTATGGTAATGCACTAGGCCTGTGCGCCCTCTTTTTGTTCTTTCCCCATTGATTTTATAGTGTCACCTGAGGAAACTATCGAGTACTGAAAGTTGTCGCCATTTCACTGCCGTATGCAAATTTAAGGTTTCAAATGGTGGGTATCTATTTTCTCGGGGGAACCTCGTCTTATAGATTCTACCAAAAAATTAGGTAATTGATTACATTTGTGTGCCCCAAAATTAACTTTAGTGTATTTTTTACTGAAGTTTTGCGTTTCCTAGACCTTTGTTGTAACCAAAAAATTGGAACTACCACTAGTTTTATTCTCTAGGGTGTCTGCTTTCAGAAAATATTTCTAATGTTTGGGGATTTTATGTAATCTTCAGCCCTAAAATGATTTTTTTTGTAAGCATTTTGTGCCGGCAACACAAACAGCTTTGGCAGTGAAAGGGTTTAAAAACTCTAGAAAATCGCAAGGCTTCCTGCTTGTGTTCAGCGTCTCAAGTAAAGGCATGAAAGAAGTGTTACTCATGTCTGCCACTACCCGTGTGTACTAAAAAACAAAAAAATAGCTTTGTTTTGTAATGTGTATGTATGATGACAAATGTGTAAAATGCTGAAGATTTTTTCTTTCTCTCGGCAGGCCATCGGTGCTAAAACATTGAGGAACGTCTGCTGAAAGTACATCTATGACAAGTGTCCTGCTGGAGCTGCACATGGTAGGTTGTTTTTAATTTTAAAACATTTCCTGTAGTTGTGACTTTCATCCCGAAGGTTATTCCATCCAATCGGTTTAGTTTGGGTGGTTAAAGTGTTCCTGACCACTTGAAGACTTCCTTACGTACATCTCCTTCGGCAGTTTGAAGTGGTACCGTGGACTGTCCGTCTATACTGACTGGGGGTTTGTGCTGAGCGGGGACCGTCCGTCTATACTGAGGGCGCCGTCCGTCTATACTGAGGGCTCTGGGCTGAGGGCGCCGTCCGTCTATACTGAGGGATCTGTGCTGAGGGCGCCGTCCGTCTATACTGAGGGCGCCGTCCGTCTATACTGAGGGCGCCGTCCGTCCGTCTATACTGAGGGCGCCCGTCCGTCTATACTGAGGGCGCCGTCCCGTCTATTACTGAGGGCTGAGGGCGCCGTCCGTCTATACTGAGGGATCTGTGCTGAGGGCGCCGTCCGTCTATACTGAGGGCTCTGTGCTGAGGGCGCCGTCCGTCTATACTGAGGGATCTGTGCTGAGGGCGCCGTCCGTCTATACTGAGGACTCTAGGCTGAGGGCGCCGTCCGTCTATACTGAGGGGATCTGTGCTGAGGGCGCCGTCCGTCTATACTGAGGGATTCTAGGCTGAGGGCGCCGTCCGTCTATACTGAGGGGATCTGTGCTGAGGGCGCCGTCCGTCTATACTGAGGGCTCTGGGCTGAGGGCGCCGTCCGTCTATACTGAGGGCTCTGGGCTGAGGGCGCCGTCCGTCTATACTGAGGGATCTGTGCTGAGGGCGCCGTCCGTCTATACTGAGGGATCTGTGCTGAGGGCGCCGTCTGTCTATACTGAGGGCGCCTGCCTGGGCCGTCTATACTGAGGGATGAGGGCTTGTGGCACCATCCGTCTATACTTGACGGATCTGTGCCTTTGTGGTGTACTTGGACGGGAGGGTTAGGCTGCGCTGTACTTGGACGGGAGGGGTGGCTGCGCTGTACTTGGACGGGAGGGGTGGCAGCGGTGTATGATGACAAATGAGTAAATTGCTGAAGATTTTGAGGGGGCCAGTTTTCTCTCGGCAGGCCATCGGTGCTGAAACATTGAGGAACGTCTGCTGAAAGTACATCTATGACAAGTGTCCTGCTGGAGCTGCACATGGTAGGTAGTTTTTAATTTTAAAAACATTTCCTGTAGTTGTGACTTTCATCCCGAAGGTTATTCCATCCAATCGGTTTAGTTTGAGGGTGGTTAAAGTGTTCCTGACCACTTGAAGACTTCCTTACGTACATCTACTTCGGCAGTTTCAAGTGGTACCGTGGACTGTCCGTCTATACTGAGGGCTGTGTGCTGAGGGCACCGTCCGTCTGTACTGAGGACTGAGGGCGCCGTCCGTCTATACTGAGGGCTGTGTGCTGAGGGCGCCGTCCGTCTATACTGAGGGCTCTGGGCTGAGGGCGCCGTCCGTCTATACTGAGGGCTCTGGGCTGAGGGCGCCGTCCGTCTATACTGAGGGATCTGGGCTGAGGGTGCCGTCCGTCTATACTGAGGGCTGTGGGCTGAGGGCGCCGTCCGTCTATACTGAGGGCTGTGGGCTGAGGGCGCCGTCCGTCTATACTGAGGGATCTGGGCTGAGGGTGCCGTCCCGTCTATACTGAGGGATCTGGGCTGAGGGAGCCGTCCGTCTATACTGAGGGCTGTGGGCTGAGGGCGCCGTCCGTCTATACTGAGGGCTCTGTGCTGAGGGCGCCGTCCGTCTATACTGAGGGCTCTGTGCTGAGGGCGCCGTCCGTCTATACTGAGGGCTCTGGGCTGAGGGCGCCGTCCGTCCGTCTATACTGAGGGCTCTGTGCTGAGGGCGCCGTCCGTCTATACTGAGGGATCTGTGCTGAGGGCGCCGTTCGTCTATACTGAGGGATCTGTGCTGAGGGCACCTCCATCTATACTGAGGGCACCGTCCGTCTATACTGAGGGCTCGATTGGGAGGCATCTATCTTTACTGAGGGCTTTGTGCTGGGGGGGGCAATGTCTGTCTTTACCAAGGGGTATATGGTATGGTGGGGGGTGGGCCTCTGTCCTTATGGACTTTGTGCTTATGTATGTTAGGGTTATCTGTAATGTTGGGGTTCAGGCTTTGGGGGGGGCGATTGACTTGTGCTGTGACGAGGGGTGATTATGGTCATACTCTGTAAGGTGGTCTGTGTGTTGCTCCCTCCGGACCCCTGAACTACAGGCGGGAGTTCATCAGAAGTGAACCAGACAGAATCTGGAGCAGCTGTGCTCGACAAACAAGTCAGCTTGAAATTTCTCATTTTCAAAGCTTTTAATTTAAATCTGTGAATTTGCCCCTCCAGGGCAGCTTATCAGACCCCCCCCCACCAGGCAGGACAGTACAGGATACAAAGTATTTTTATCTTCTGCAATCTAATGTCATTTTTGCCACCAAACCCCAATGCAGATGCTTTTGCCATGAAATGTTTGTGCAGCAAAACAAAAGCTTCACGTTACAAAGATGAATTGTATTTATTCTAATCCCGAACTCTCGCTGATTGTGCTGATATACGGGGAGCTGTAGACTGAAATGTATTTTAGGGGTTCCCTGAAATTTAAAAAATTCTTGTTGGTTAAAAAGTTGAGAAAAGCTGCCCTACAGTTTTCGGGCCCCATGCAGGACAGTTGGTCCGATCGCTCCCCTTTTACAGGGTCTTTGTCTGACCCTCTCCAGGGTGTTTGTACTGTGTGAGGTGAAGTCTACAGGCTTTGTAAATGGATAGTAAACTGGCATTGAATCGTCCATAATAATGGGAATAGGATTTCTCTATGGGGGGGGTTTGCAGGACAGGAAGTGAAAATAAATCCATTTATTATTTGTTACAACTTTAAATATTGTTATTTATCACAAGTAAAATCTCGGGACCAGAGAGGACATTCCCTTCATCCACTGATAGTGCCGACAAGACGCAGAGAAGGGCGGGGCACAGAAAAGTATTCTTAGCTACTGAAATCTGATTGGTCATTTCTGCCACTAAACCCCAATGCAGATGTTTTGCCACCAAATGAAATGTTTGTTCTACAGAACAAAGCTTCTTTAAAAAGGTGAATTTGTTTGTAATCTCGAACACTCGCTGATTGTGCTAATCTACTGGGGGCTGCAGACTGGAAATTATTTTAGGGGTTTAAAAAAAAAAAAAATGAAAAAATGTTCTTGATGGTTAAAAGGTTGAGAAAAGCTGCGCTACAGAGCCGTTTTCTGGCCCCCTTCAGGGCAGTTTGTCAGACCCCCTCCCCAGGGCTGCTTGTCCTACAGCAGGGCTTCTCAAAAAGGGTTCCATGGAAGTGTGGTGTTGCAGCAGGGAGAAGATGAGTTGTGTCTGACTTCCATCCCAACTATCGCCTTCCCACCCAATGTTCAGCCTGGAGGAATCGCAGCAGTAAGAGCGAGACCAATGAATCCCTCCGTGAAAGTACAAAGTCGTTTTTTGTTTTGTTTTTTTCAGCTTTGGGGTGGCTGTTGTGCAGGATGGTGAAGTGGGTGATGAGGTGGTCTGTGCTCATTGTCCTGTCTGTAGTCTGAATATTCTTTATGGATTCCTGGATTGTGAAACTTCCACAAGGCAGCTTTCACCACCCATCCTCCACAGAGCAGCCTTTGGACCTTTGTCCCCCACAGGGCAGCTTTCACCACAGGGCAACCATCCTCCACAGAGCAGCCTTTGGACCCTCGTCCCCCACAGTGCAGCTTTCACCACCCATCCTCACAGAGCAGCCTTTGGGCCCTCGTCCCCCACAGGGCAGCTTTCACCACCCGTCCTCCACAGAGCAGCCTTTGGACCCTTGTCCCCCACATGGCAACTTTCACCACCATCCTCCACAGAGCAGCCTTCGGACCCTCGTCCCCGACAGTGCAGCTTTCACTACCCGTCCTCCACAGAGCAGTCTTTGGACCCTCGTCCCCCACAGGGCAGCTTTCACAACCCGTCCCCCACAGGGCAGCTTTCACAACCCGTCCCCCCTGCACAGGGCAGCTTTCACAACCCGTCCCCCCACAGGGCAGCTTTCACAACCCGTCCCCACAGGGCAGCTTTCACAACCCCGTCCCCCCACAGGGCAGCTTTCACAACCCGTCCCCCACAGGGGCTGCTTTCACAACCCGTCCCCCACAGGGCAGCTTTCACAAACCCGTCCCCCACAGGGCAGCTTTCACAACCGTCCGGCCCCCGCTTTCCCCACAGGGCAGCTTTCACAACCCGTCCCCCACAGGGCAGCTTTCACAACCCGTCCCCCACAGGGCAGCTTTCACAACCCGTCCCCCACAGGGCAGCTTTCACAACCCGTCCCCCACAGGGCAGCTTTCGGACCCTCGTCCCCCACAGGGCAGCTTTCGGACCCTCGTCCCCCACAGGGCAGCTTTCGGACCCTCGTCCCCCACAGGGCAGCTTTTGGACCCTCGTCCCCCACAGGGCAGCTTTTGGACCCTCATCCCCCACAGGGCAGCTTTTGGACCCCCTACAGATATTACATTAATAATCATGCTACCAGAATGAGTGTGTGCAGTGTATATTGCCTTTAGCATCACTCCTGTTTCTCCTTGCTGGAGGCGGCCATTTTGCTGAAGCCCAGAGCTCCGTGAGCAGCAGTAAATCTTTAGGCTGTCAGCACATCGGCCTTTACATATTCAGCACAGTGCCTGAAAACAGCGAGCAATTGAGCATGTGTAGTGCAAGGTCACAACAGAGAGGGTCATCCTTCCCAATGGAGACATGGTGAGCTATCAAAGTACATCCACACTTCATCCAAAGAACAAAATGTTCCTTGTTAATGAATGCCGGCTATTTCCAGCAACTGTCTTCTAATCCTGATCCAATTTCTGTCTCCATCTAGGTCCCGTCAAGCAGCTCCCTGACTACGGCTGTATCCGCAGTGCTGTGTGCTGGATCCGTTTCTGATCTCCATCCAGTTCAGGGGGCACATTTTTTGGAATAAACAAGATCTGGCCTTTAAGGATCAACTAGAGAAATGCTGGTGATTTACTTTCAGAAAACATTGAATGTCTAAGGGGGGGGGGGGGGCTCCCCTTCAGCAGATGTAAAATACAGCCTGGAACATCCATCTGTGTATTTGACATGTGAACAGCTTGTGTCACTGAATAAAATGTTGTTTTAAAGGAAGTATATTGACTTTTTTTTGGGGGGGGGGGGGGTGTATTTTTTTACTGTTGACCACTTGTCCTGCAGAGTATTAATCCCCCCCCCCCCCCCTCCTGACTAGGCCATATTTTTGCGATACGGCACTGCACTACTTTAACAGACAATTGCTCGGTCATGCAACACTGTACACAAATTAAATTTGTCCCTCCCCCCACAAATAGAGCTTTCTTTTGGTGGTATGTGATCACCTCTGCGTTTTTTTTTGGGGGGGTTTTTTTTTGCGCTATAAACAAAAGACTGCCAATTTTGAAAAATAAAACAATATTTTTGACTTTTTGCTATAAACCTATCCAATAAAGCTGTAAAAAAATCAAATTTCTTCATGAATTTAGGCCAAAATGTATTCTGCTCCGTGTCTTTGCTAAAAAAAAATCCCAATACCTTTTGAATTAATTGGTTTACGTGGAAGTTATAGCGTCTACAAATGGCGGTATATATTGGAATTTTCTAAAAAAAAAAAAAAATTATTTTAATACTAGTAATGGCGGTGATCAGCAACTTATAGCGGGACTGCGACGAGCTTTCTGACACTGGGGGGGGAACTTACGGACACTGAGCTCCCAGTGACACCAGTACAGTGATCATTCCGCTGTGTCCGGAACACCGATTGCTGTACGGGACCTCCTGTGTGAGGTCCCGATCATGTGATCACTGATTGGCCAATCAGTGATCACATGAATAGTAATAAAACAAGATGTCCGGCCGTTTATATACAAGTGGCAGTGCGGGGTCGGGTGGCCGTTTATAACGGCCTCCCCGCCCCCTGCTTGTGCACGCTCTCTGGGAGCGCAGAGCACCGCGATCCGGTGCTCGCTGTGTTCTCCGGACACACTGGAACACCAATCGTACGGAACCTTTGTGCGAGGTCCCGATCATGTGATCGCTGATTGGCCAATCAGTGATCACATGCAGAGTAGTAAGCAAGATGTCACTTCTGACATCATTGCTTACTACGTGTGTGAAATCTGTGAATGATCACAGAGGTCACATGGTACAAGGCTAT